TTCAATTTGAAAATNTAAGATCTTTCACTTCCATATAAGGAAAGATTAAACGATTTTCTATGAGTAATAAACAATTTCGATGAGGCGTAAGAATACAGAAAAGGCAATGATGACTGGCCTCTTCACAACTTTTAATCATCCTATAAAATGCAGGAGCAATGTTTTTGCGTGGCTTTTTGTTGTTTATCATGCCTAACTATAATCCGTCAGCTTAGACGGGATATGGGTCTCCCCCCATCTCCAGCTTGGAGGGGGCTGAGATGTATGCTTTCACCATCGCTACTAAATAAAAAAGATTATGCACAACATGGACTCATTAATCATGCTTTTTTGACTAGTAATTTACTAAAAAATATCGGTGTGGATCCACCGTTATTTCATGTATATATATATATATAAAAAAAACCGAAAAAAAAAGATATAATCTTTTCTTCAGATCCGTAGGATTCATAGTATTGCTGAATTGATTGTTGCTGAAGAAGTTGTTATAGAAAGATATGACATGCTTATCTGAGCTATTATCATTTGGTGTATTGTTAGGAGAAAATTGTTCTTCTATTGTATTAGCGAATATTTCGCTTTTTTCTTTGTCTGAGTAGACTTTACCATTTTCGCTGTTAGGAGGCATATTTGTGATATTATTCGATTTAAGGGATTTGATCATCTTCCATGCTGAGTTATCGTTTGTATCCTTTTCCTTCTTAAGACTGAAAGAATTATCTATTCTTGAAATAGTTCTACTACCAGTTTTTCCTCTTTTCCGTTTCGCTTTTCCTGTTCCTTCTTCAGCATTCATATTTATATTAAAAACACCGTCAAGCCAGTAATTATACGTTAATAATAAAAATAATATAAAATACTTTAAATTATTATTATGTAAATACAATAAAAATGCTTGCTAGTGAAAATAAAAACGAAAACAGCAGCGGTCGCCATAGCAACACATGCAATGACGACGCATGCGCACTGTTTACTATTACTCTTTAACACAGTTGAAAAGTTTGAGGACGCTATCAAATCCATACAAAGACCCATTTTGCCAATGGGTAAAAAGAAATTTTTTTTTCACTAATTTAAATTGCCATAAGTTGAAAAATGTTATAAAAATATGGTGGCATGAAACTTTAAAGCGACATCTTACTTAGGAATATATTCAACGAATAAGTTTTATGATTATAGAAATTACATGATGCTATCTAGACAAATGAGGTGATCAACACCTCTTTGTAAAGATTGCATTACATTAGTTTCCTCACTTACTAAGAAGGGAGGATTTAATTGTATGCCAACGGGTAGAACATATTATATTTGATGTCCAAAGTATGACGATATTTAAATTACTAATTTTGATTGCTCACTGATAGGAACTAAAATTAATGGTTTTGACATTGAACGCTAGTTAAACATAAGATATTTGCAGAATTTTTTTTTAAAAATATCGTTACTGCTCGAAATAGAAATATTTTGCAGCATAAATGTCTTGGGGGGTGTATCGATCAGTCTTAGAATGAAGCTTTAGATAGTATGCTGATTACATATTTTTTACACTTTTTATATTAAATATTTGATTCATACTTTAAAGCACACAATCATTTATTGTATGTTTGTAATAATCATTTAAAGTTTATTCGTTGATTACTTATTTTTCTGTTAAAAAATATTCAAGTATAGAAGCGTCCCATAAAAACTTAAAAAGTGGTGACTAAAGCATAATGTTATTAAGGCTCTCAAAGGTCCTTCAAAAAATTTTCAAATGGTAGCAAACTACTCATCAAAGCAATTTAAAGTTTTCCTAATTTTGAAACCACTACAATTTAAATAACCAGGCTTCTATGCATGCAATAGGTTTCTAAATCTTTGTGGTTATCAAGAAAAATTTTATATTAAATTTTGAAAACAAGAACTGTATATTACTGCATAAATTTTGCTAATGCTTTAAAAAAATTTGATGCACCTTTGGGAGCCCTGTTTTACCATTTTGATTTCAAATAGTAGAATAGGGGTTAAACTTAATCTGAAAACGTAGAAGAATTGTAGTAGGAGCATTTTATTCATATTTTATTTTTTCCGAGAAAAATTTTTAAAATGGCTATTACTATTTTTAAAAGTGATATACATATATATTAGCCATAACATTTCTAAATTTTCAACTAGTAAATATATATTAGGTAACTGTTAATAATACTTAACAGAAAAAGTGTAAAAATAAAATGCCTTTACCTCGATGTATTTATCTTTCTTACATGAGTAACAGCTTAGAAAGATATGAAAGTGCCATCTTAACATCTTCGTTAGACATTAGTAAGCAACAAGAGGACATTGACATGAACTAAATTGAGGAGTGAGAGAGTGAGGTTCAAAGCTTGCCCACTGGGAACGAATTAAGTACCTCTGGATCCGTAAACAAATGCTCTTAGGAAAAGATAATAAAGTTACTTCTATTAGGTGTCCTAATTTAGTTACATAGTTTGAGCTTTTTTTATACTTAAAAGAATAAAAAACTGAGTTAAAATAAAGAAAAGCATTTCTAAGTAAGAGATTGGCAGAAATCAATTACTTTGAGGCTACCGTTAGCAGAGAAATACTGCTTCTTTAGAGTTTTGTTTATTTTAGGAGTCTTGATTATTATTACGAATAACCTAAGTAAAATTACGAAAGTAAATATTAAAGCTGTTAAAACAGCATTTAAAAAACCCAACAAGAGAAAAACTCTAAACGAAAGTACTGTTACTTTATTTGGAGATACAGTTATAGTTGTTTCAAAAGCAAAAATTGCTTTGTCTCACCATTACAAACACTTTAAAATGGGTGAAAAAATTATTGAAGTTAATAAAAAAAACAAAATTATTATTTAGAAAATAAGACAAAAATCTGAAATTTCTATAGTTATATTTTTCGATTGACTTTATTTAGTAATATTATTAATATTTATTGCTTTGAAGTAGGCTGTAAAAAATGAATATTGTGCAAGCTTGAGCTACTAAAAAAATTTCTCTCCCCTTAAGAAAATTTGAAATTTCAAGGTCATTTTATAAAAGTGAAAAGTATGTTTTAGGGAGTGTATCTAAAAAATGCAAAATCAGCCCGTATTTTGTTTTGCTATATATTGATTCAAATTAAATAATAATTACACAATTGTAATGATTAAGATGAATTTTATTCCATCGTGATTCAGTGGTAAAAGTAAACTGAAATTGAAGAAGTGCAGAAAAAATAATAATAAATTGCTTGAGCTCAGCGCCATCTGGTGTTATAAATCTTGATAGCAAAATTATCAACATATATTAAGTATATCACTGTCTAGTTATGGACATGCACTATCGTTTCCATGTGGCATTGCTGCTTTTAAGAGTAATGTCAAAGTTAGTGAAAAATTCAGTCAAAGTTTTCTTTTAACTCAAGCTCTGTGACCCAACACTTCTTTGAGTTATTGATACTTTTAGTAAATATAGCCTTTCAAGCTTTCAAAAAATGCAAAATCTATTTTTTTTATTTAGCTTATCTTAAAACTGCATCGTCTCTCAAAGAAAAAATAACAGTACCATATTGTCGGTGAATGCTGTACGTGGGAAAGTAAAATCAATTGGACTTCTTTCCATTTTCAAGAAAAAAATTTTTAAAATGGATATGAAAAGCTTTGTTAGAAATCACATCATTTCTCCTTTTTAAGACAGTAATGATTGTTTTTTCCTATCACAATCAATTAAAAGGAGAATATTTTTCAAGAACTCTATTCTGAAATTGGAAGGAAAAACAATGAGGAGGTTGTCTTCTGATACATTTAACCTCCAAGAAAGTCACTGTTTTTGCTGTCAGCCATTTCTGCTAGATACCGTATGTTACTAAATGGATAGTTCTCAACATATGAAAAAATTGACATACCTTACCATAAAAATCGAAAAAACAGCATATAATCTTTTCTGAACTGCACAAGGATATAAACTTCTTTCAAGTAAATCTTAGAGATAAAACCTCTGAGATTTTCTTGATTAATTACTTACTTGAGTGCAAGCCTGCTTGATTAAATAACGTAATATTTAATGGTAGGTATAATGTATGTAACATCTGAAAAATTCAGGGTGTGAATTTTTTGAGAAATTTTTAAAAGATAAAGCTTTTCTGGAAGGAAAGAATGTTCGACTTCTAAACCAACAAAATGAAGTTTTGCTTCACATATTTAACATTTGAAACACAGCAGCAAAGCAGCATGATCTAGAATTTTACATTTAATTAGAGCAGATGTACAGGAAATGATTTTGTTCTAAAAATAAACAAATAAAATTCAGCATTACATACTTAATTTGAAAAGAATTTAAAAAGAATTTTCAACTAGGTAAGTTAATCAGGAGAGTACTAATTTTAATAATTGACAAAACAGAAGTAAATGTACCCGAAGTTATGAGATCCATATTCTGAAATAAAAGTAACTTCGATTTATTTAAATCAGATAGACATTTTATTTAATAGCGTTTGATATCGGGAAAAAATAGTTGATATTTAAAGCAGCGTTATGAAGGAAAAGTACATTGTATTTCAATCGAAGGCGAGTAGGTTTTAATACTGGTCGTCCATTTCTGAAAAAAAGTGAAGAAATCTTGTGTGAAAAAAATGCCCCAGCTCTATTAAAAGTAGATTTTTTAGTATCCTTAAATTTGATTTTACGACTGTCATTAAGTAACGCGAAGAAATGAGTAAATAATAAGAAATGAATAACAAAGTGTATTATTTTATGTTCTATTGTTTATTTCTAACAGTACTTTATACAAATACATTATTAAATAAAACATATTTTTTTCTATTTTTCATGCTATAATGCCTGGGTGTTTATTCTTCCCTAATTATATGTTTCTGTTACTTATACAGTCTTTATAAAAAAAATTTTACTTAGAAGGGGAAGATCCATCATTACTATGTCAAAAATGAGAAGGGGTGTGATTTATAACATAACATTATGCAACTTTGTTTTTTTTTTTTCTTCTTGAAAAGGGGACTAGCTTTCATTGTTTTTTCTTTTGCACCTGTCTATCGATACATTCACCAACAAGAAGTAAAATAAAATAGTTGAATGTAGATTTAAAATTTTTTGAAAGTTCGAATGAAAGTTATCTATTAGGAGCATCATTATCCCTGGAAAGTGCTGGGTATCAGAGCTTGTCCTAACTGTGAGTTTTAATATTAAGTAAAGAAATTAATGGGTTCTACTAAGATTATCAGGGCAGAAAAATGCTGAAAATTGAATTTTTTCACTATTTGATAAAGCATAACTCTGAAACGCAACAATGCTCCATGAAACGAGTGGATGTCCATAATTAAGCAGCGATACATTAATGATATGATAAAACAAAATTTTAGGGTGTTTTTATTTTAGGTAAATCCCTTAAAACATACTTTTTTTTAACTTTTAAAAAAATGACCTTGAAGTTCTACAGGGGAAGGAGCATATTTTAGGAGCTCAAATGTGACAGTATTTATTTTTCATAACCTACTTCAATATATATAAAAAAATCAATAAATAAAAGAACATCGGAAATATTTTAGCTTAATTATCTGCGTCGATATTAATATTCAGTTCTGTGCATAATTTCGTAGTGTAGTTTTCTAGTATAAAGTCATAATTAAAAAAATAGCTACTGTCTATTAGAAATATTTATAATGACTAGAAATCGTTCGTAAACTTAAAAAACTATGCATACTCTATTTTAAGTTTTGTTATCCCTGTTTATTAAACAAAAGTATGATTATTGTTTACATAAATAAGTTTAGTACTGAATTGATTACAACATCATCAGAGATGCCAACTGCTCCGGACACGCCAAAATAATTAAAAAACGGTAAATAACTACCAAGTAAATTTTGGAAATATTTGACTACTTTTGCTTGCTTTTCCAGATGCATAGAATTGCTGAACTACCACTTAAAAATATGCATTTGCTGTTCGGAGCAAGTTGGCATCTCTGCATCATTAACTTAAATTATGACATAAAAAGAATTGTTTTTTTCTTCTTTTTATCGAAAATCTCTCAGGATTCTTAACAATAAATACATCTGAAGAAAAGGAATTAATTTTCCTCACCTGATCTGGAGCATAGGTGGAATATAAAACGTTATGAATTCCATATTTGCAATGTTTCAAAACAATTAATTGATATCTGCTCATTACTATGCATTAAAATTTGGATATTTTTTTCTTAATCTTAACTTTTTAAAATTTTTTTATTAATTAAACAGCTTGTGATTGACAGCATAGGAATGGTTAAAACAGTTTGGAAATTACCAATGGATTTAAGACAGCATGAATGAAAAACTGACACACACTTCTCAATGAAGACGTCTTTAAAAATAAGTCATTCATATTCACAGAGTTCAATATTCACACAGCATTCATATATATAGCAGTTCCATTCGCTATATTGACCGGCATAATTTTTTTTCTCAGCTTTCCATCAGAAAATGCTTTATGTAATGCCATTAAAGGCGATTCGAAGATTAAACCTAGCACCAAAGCTGTCAGGAAGCTGAGGAACATATTATTGAGAAATATGAAGATCTGGAAAGCAGACAAAATAAGAATAGTTAAATATGATATACAAGATTCGGAGAAAAAAAAGAAACACTAACTGTAAGTAAACAATTTTTCTTTCAGCAGTAAATGTTTGGGAAGATATTAAATGGCAAAATTGTTGTCACAGTTTGAAAAATCATGCTTGAAGCTTTCAGAAGTAGGATCCATTTTACTCCTATAAAAGTTGCATCAACCTACATTAGGGTAGGTAGTTAAAAACTTATTTTCTTTTTTTATACCACTAAAATTAAAAAAGCATTCTACTATAAATGTTGCAATCCCGTAAATTTTTTTTTATAAAATTGCTAATATTAAAGCTAATAAGTAGTTATTAACTTCCTCTTTCAAGTCCTAAGCTTTCGTTACCTTCCCAAATGCGATAAAATCGTTAATTTGGCGAATAAAAATGTGTTTTGACGAATAATTTTTCCACTGCACTGGAAAGAAAAAAATATATTTAACTCGATCCTCGAAATTACGTCCAAATGAATTTTTCTAAACAAATCCGAAATTTTTATTCAATTACAGTAATTTTCTGTATCGTTGATACATTTACAGTACGATTACAGTAGTTGGTACGATTACAGTGATTGATACGATTACAGTAATTTTCGGTATTGATGCATAAACGATTAGATTTGGGTGTAAATAATATACGCCAGAAACAAACAACCGAAAAACAGTTTTCTATGGGGAAAAAATTAATCATAAAATATTGAAATGAAGATTCGTATTTGGTTAAGACTTTTGACAGTTGTCGAATTTACAGGCTAATAATTTGAAATCCTTAGCTCGGGCCCTGTTCCTTGAATTTTGATTGATTCGAATTTTATATGGGTGAATCAGGCATCATTATTAAAAGATTCAAGCAGTTCAAAAAGCTTCAAATTATCATATGAAATGCAACATTATTGTACTCATATCGGGGTGAAACCTCTAAAGAGTAGGCGTTATTATACTCTTTCTGCAAGTTTTACTATTTAATTCGCTATCAATTTATTAAAATTTTTGTAGAACGGAGAACAGTTTTCATCCCTGAAGTAAAGCCATGTTGGCCTCTTTAAACTTGGCAAAAGTAACCGAAAATCTGCACATTTTAGTTTGTAGTAGGGTAAACTAACCAGTGAAGGAACACTTAAGCTTCGCTTGCCTTTTAAAAAATCATATTAATTTCAAAATTCGTAATTTTAGTTAAATGACAGTGTCAACATATTTGTTACTAATTGCAAATTATGTAAAAAAATTGTTTAGAACTTACACAATATTGTTTTAAAGTTTTGGAGGTTCAAATAACAAGTAGTAAGAAGACCCAGTGAAGGAACAGCTTTTACCAGTGAATGAACACCCAGTAAAGGAACACTTAATTTTGGTTTTTTTTTAATGCTCTTTTTGAATTTATAAGCCATACAAATATTTAAAAACAAGCCTATTCTTGAAATTATAACATATAAATACTTGGAAAATGTTAACTTTTTTTTGTAATCATGAATTGAAAATTAAAGTGTCAACATATTAACACATACTGTTCATTCACTGGGAAATCTATGCCCAGTAAAGGAACATGCCTGTTCCCTCACTGGTTAGAAGTTGTTTTTCGTATTTTTAACATACTTTTGATGCGGAACATCACTAAAGGTACAAGAAAATTAAAGTTTATCTTTTATTTTCATTAACTTAGAAAAAAAACCAGTAAAGGAACACTTGTTCCTTCACTGGTTTTTCATCGTTTGGTGATCCAGTGAATAAACACCCCCTTATCTCAGTACTTTATTATGCTATGATGCTTAAAAAAAATAAAACGTAACTTCAATAACTATATTTTGAATTCTCTTTTTCACAGTGAGAAAAATAAAACTATTACATGCAATTAATTCCACTTCAAACATATAAATACAAACACTCACCTTATAATTTTTTCAAAGAAACAAGGTGTTGCAGAGATAATAACAAATTCAAAAATTTTTCCAGAGAAGTCTATTTGACCAGGTAATCCAAAACATTGCTAGATGACTTCCTATTGTTTGGCAGTAAGCTATTGTTACCAATCAATCGAAAGAAAAACTTTCAAATTCTTATTTTTAATCAATATATATGAAATGTTCCTTCACTGGATAGTGTTCCTTCACTGTTGGTTTACCCTACTCAACCATTTTTTAAAATATTTTGTCGACTTCGGATCAGTTGGCATCTCTGTTGGTCGATGTAAATTTTAAAAAGGTAAAAAGGACCCCACTTCTAAAAGCTCCAGGCATGACAGCATGATCTTTCAAACTGTGTCAACAGTTTTGCAACAGTTTAAAATCTTCCACAACATTTACATCTAAAAGAATGATTGTTTACATAGAGTTAATATAGAAGTCTTTCTATATTTTTGTCCTACCCCTAGCACTAACACTTTTCAAAATGCGAGTCGAAACACAAAAATAGCATTACAACTCACTAAAGTGCTATAAATTAAGCTTTTAACTTCTTATGCTCATTTTATTCAATACAAATCATTTTGATTAAAAATGACATTATTTCTAAAAACTTATTTCAAATTGTGCCAACAGTTTTACCACACCAAATCTTACAAAACATTCGCTTCTAAAAGAAAGATTATTTACATAGAGTTTTTCCATTACTTTGTACAATTAGTAAAACTTTTTGATCTTGCTACTTTGATTTCAGAAATATAGTTACTAAAACTAAAGAAGTGTTGTAGATACATAAAATATTTTTCTAGTAGTATCAATTAAATGTAATGCATTAAAATTTTAATTAATCAGAATTAAAAGAATTTATTCTACCACTAATTATAAACTGTTAAAATAGGTGTAAAGAGCATCTACTACATTTAATTGTATCATATTCGAGTTATTGCAATTTTGTAATGAAGCGGAGACAGCGTACAAGAGCAAAGCATTCAACAGAAGGAAAAACTTAGCTATCTTCTTAAGATTTAGTAAAACAGGGTTCCCAGGGTCTGAAATTTTTTTTAAGTCGTAGAAAAAGTGAGATATATCTAGATGTTTTAAGAGATCAATAAATATTTAATTTAAGTGGAAATATATAAGGGTGCGAAAAATAACTGTGATATTATTTCGTAATTCACAAATAAAAAATACATTTATGCATTTTTTAATAATCTTGAAAAATCTTTGCTACCACTCATTTATTTTTTTAAGGTGTGGAGAAAACTGCAAATGGTTTATAAGAAATTCAATTTGTTTCATGAGTTTCTGATTTTTTTTTCACTACTATTGAGAAAAATAAATTAACGATAACAGCAATTGTTGGAGAGTATGTAGTTATGAAAGCTATGATTTAATACATTTTGATTTTTCCAGGTCGTAGCACCCTTATGATATAAGATATTACTTTAACCATATAGTAAAAGGAATTGGAAAATTAGATGAATCCCAAATAGATAGTTTCTATATTTGGGAGGATATTGTATTTTAGGAACTCTATTTATCATATTTTTTTTTAAAGATTTCGTTTATTTAATGGTCTTTTTTGAACAAGATCTTACCATAGTCCGATGTCCGAACTGCATTGACTGCCTTATGGACCCGGTATAAATATACATTAGACCATGATGAATGAGGTACACCATGTAGCTCAATCTTGCGAATGGTACAAAGCCTTCCCAACTCAGAATACTATTGATGATTCCTGAAAAGTAAAAACGATTATTACATCTTGAGTAATAATCGCTTCATCTTGAGATACATCTTTACCTAGCTTTTTTTTTAAGCAAACAGTTCTATTTTTCGAAAAATACTTGAAAGCGCCATCACAAAAGGCTCATTGTTAGCATTTACATACCTGCCAATTTTTAATCCTTTCGAGGTTGATTTGTTAGCATTTACATACCTGCCAACTCTTAATCCTTTCGAGGTTGATTTTTCCCAATGGTAGAAAAATGGAAATTGAATTAAGATTTTAGACAGAAAAAAACTCTGATTTTGAAAACTCTTAAACAGACATCCATATATTAGTATTACATATTAATGCGTATGCTTTATTTTTTTAGGAATGCTGGTAGACAGAAACATGAAAAATTAAGTTTTTAAATGTAAGGATAGCATACATTTGCTACCACTTTAAATAAAAATATAAAATTTCGCGCAAAAGGCGTGTGAAAGTTGGCAGGTATGCATTTTTTTTATATGAGAATAATATAGTGATGCGCGTAAAACAAACGAATCGATATTTTAGTCAACTCTTTTTTGTGAATCGATTCATCAAATTCGTTTTTTAAAAAGAATCGTTTGTTTTTTTCTTTATGTCAATATTTGGTATTCTACGCTGTATCAGCTTATTCAGAGTTAGTATTTATACTTGTTAAACATCCGCATATGCATTTTCTATAGCATTTCGTTTATACAATTGGTGCATGCTAAAATTCCAACGCAGTCGAATAGACACAGGTCCATTCTCACTTCATGATCATATAAACGACAATCTGATTGGTTGAAAATATTTACATGTGAAAAACTTGCCAATAAGGTACTCGTATGTATGAGATTTTTCACAAGCGGAAAATCGCATCCAATAAGAATGGCCCAGATGTCAATGTTAGCGCACCACCGGTCTCGAGAGGTGATTAATAAAGCGGACTCATTTGAAGAATGAAGGGAATTGAAAATGTTATTAATGCAATACGTACTGCATTCTGATGCAGTGAAAAGTGTGCATTACTGTATTTTTTTTCTTTTCATTTACGAAATTAATTAACTCTATTGATAAACAGCAATTTGAAAATGGCAACAACAACTGAAAAGCTGTCTTCTACAGTTTCGGTTCTTCCTTCCAAATAAAAAGAAATTAAAACTGTAAAGCCCAGATATTACTTTTCAGTACTTTAGTATTAAAGAACGTATTTTTTCATAAGTAAGGTTAACTTTCAATTTATAAATTTCAGAAAAAGTGAAGCAAAGCAAAGTTTTATGTTATCGTTTATACTATGCCAAGAAAACAAGCGAGAGCTATAGAAAATGAAACCGTTGCGCTGATTGGGTAATAAACTGAAATATGAATGCAAATCTCTGATTGGATGAAAATGAGTTGAAAGGGAGAAAGAGAAGAGTTACAGGGGTTCCACGAGTTAGTATTTTTTATAGCCAGTGATGAGTTTCAAAACCTCAGATTATATTTAGATACAATCTATAATTAATTTAACATTTCGGTTGCCTTTATGAAATTAATTCTGAGAAAATGCCAATAAAATAGAAATGTCCTTTTTTAAAAGAAAATATAATATTTCTAATAACAATATAATGAATTAATTATGAAAAGGACAGGCATTCATAAAATATTGTATTAGTATTCCTCATCACGCTTTTCCGATCAAAATAATTATCTTCTTTCATAAANAGAGTATTGTGAACAAATATAGATAATTTTCATAATGATTTCATTCAAGTTATTTAAGGGGACACTTCACGATGAAAAACTCAAAAATCGACCAAATAATCGATTTTTCAATTTTGATCCTAAAAAATAATATATGCACCAGGCTTCAATTTAAAAAAAAATTTTGAAAAATAATCATTTTTTGCAAAGTTATAAGCATTTGAATGCTTGTAAACATGGTGCCACGCCCACTTCAGTACCTGTCAAAAATGTAAATATCGTCTGCACGATCATTCTACAAGAGAAGGGTTCGATTCTTGTGTGTAAATGCTTGGTGCTACTTAGTAAGCCTCATATTTTTTACATTTGTATTGAATTTGAACCTGGCAATAATTATTTAACTTCAACTTTGACTGACAATCGACTTTTGTTTACAACGTTGTTTTGCTTACATTCTATTTAGAACCTTTACAAACTTAAAACAACAGTTCTTTTCAGAACTAATACTCTATATTCTTTTTAAATATTCTGATAAACATAGAATTACCATCTTTTTATATAATTTTAATTATATTTGTTTATTTCCTGAACAATGCATAGCATTAGTTCTCGTTGGAGAAAGCCGAAAAGGAGGCGAACTAAAGCTGATAAAGCAAGAAGTGAGGCTTTCAAAGCTAAATCTTCATCGGTTCCAGTTTCAGATTTATCTGAAACAAACAATCAGATAGCTGAAACCACAAGTGAAAATGAAAATAGTGTCTCTTCATCCTCAGTAAACGTCTGTTCATCTGATTCCCAACATGAGAGTACTTCCCAAGGTTCAAGTAATGATTATATAATCATCAGTAAATCTTCTTTTGCACCATTACTTCGTAATCTTTCTTGTGATGAATTTGGGACAGGTTGTCTGGATGTTCGTTCTCTTGACTCTTTTGGATATGCTGTCAAATTAGAAGTATATTGTAAGTCCTGCTCCAGAAGTTTTGGTTCTTCATTTTCAAGCCATCGAAAACCATACAGCAGAAAGTTTGATGTAAACCGTCAAATGGTAAAGTCATTTCTTTACTTTGGTAAGGGTCACGCTTCAATGGAAGCATTTTCCATGAACATGGGTGTTGCCAATATGAACTCTACAACTTTTTCTAAATGCCTCAAGGAATTAAGCAAAGAAAATGAACATTTCAAAAAAGACTGTGTTGAATTTATCACAAGAAACAGTGCGAAAAGCTCACATGAGTTCTGATACCAATATAACGATCGATAATGTAGCAGTGCGGGACATAACAGTTACTTATGATGGCACCTGGCACAAGCGAGGCCATACCTCCAACTATGGCATTGGCATTGCGATAGACTCGTTGACTAATTTAGTCTTGGACTACGAGATATTGTCAAAATATTGTGCAGACTGTGTAACCGCAGCTCGAGATTTAGGAGCAGAGAGTCCAGAGTACTCGATTTGGTATGAAGGCCACAAATCTTTGTGCCAAAAAAATTTTGAGGGACCTTCAGGAAACATGGAGGTTGCCGCAGCTATGGCAATTTGGAAGCGCTCTGTGAGCTTCAGTGGAATGCGCTACTCAACAATGCTGAGCGATGGAGATTCTAAGACATTTACTTCTCTAAATGAAGCTAAAGTTTATGGTCCTGATTGCATTATTGAGAAAGAGGAGTGCCTCAACCATGTTTCAAAAAGGTTAGGCACTGGTTTGAAAAATAAAGTTAAGGAGTGGAGTATAAAAGGCGTAACACTCGGTGGTCGAAAGCTTGGTAGCCTAACTGAACAAACGATTAAAAAACTACAAAATTATTATCGTAAGGCTATCAAAGAAAATATACCAAACATCGATTCCATGAAGACTGCAGTGTTTGCATCCTTATATCACTGTATGTCCACTGATCGAAACCCCTAACATAATAAGTGCCCCAAAGGGGATGACTCGTGGTGTTTCTTCCAAAGGGCTTTAGCTCAAGCCGTAAAACCACAAAGCCATAAATTAATGAAAACTAAATTATCAGAAGAGGTGGTAGAGAAAATCCTCCCCGTTTATCAGCGTCTTGCATCAACCGATCTTTTGAGTCGTTGCGTGTCGGCAAAGACACAAAACGCAAACGAGAGCCTCCATAGTGTAATATGGAGCAAGTGTCCCAAGGAGGTTTTCGTTTCGAGAAAAAGACTTGATTATGCTGTTTCACTAGCTATAAGTGAATACAATTTTGGGTGTGAGAAAACTTTGGCGATTCGTAATGGAAAATTAAGTCCTGTGGTTTTGAAGAATGCTAAGGTTCGTGACAATAAAAGGGCATCTCAAAGAAAGAGAAAATCTTCGCAAACATATAAAAATCATTGTCGAGAAAAAAAATTTAAGCAAACGCAGAAAAAAAACACAAAATCTACTTATAAGGCTGGTGCATTTTGACATTTTGCATACATAATGAAAAATGTGGACTGTATCATAATTTATGCTTTTTAACACATTTTATAATATTATTTATGTGTTATTTCATGTTATAAAAATAATTTTCACAAGTAACATGAGTCTCAAGTAGTAACTTGTAATATTTGAAAACAGATTTTTTGTTTATTTTGAAATATATGTATTATGCTGATTTGCCAAGTTTAGGAAAAACTTTCATTTAATTAATCATTGCTCGAGAATTTTCTGACGAAAATTCCACAAATTTTTTGTTCAATTTTTAAAAAAGCTTGTTTATTATTTTTGAACACTAAAGTAACTATACACATCTAAAAATTATGATATGAAGAAGTATATGATAACAGAGTTGATGTTTTGTTACTGCGATGCTTTGATGTCTTTTATAATTATCGAGCATAGAAGACTGTATAATAATAATAATATAATTGCATTCATTAAATATTTTTGTTTTATAATTAGAGATTTACCTAATAATTGTTTCATAAAATTTTTATTGAGTTGGGTGAAAAGATATGTTTTGAAGACTGAATTTGTGCATTATGAGGCACAAATTTTATGTTATGTACATTATTTCTATTGACACATTTTTTATATAATTAACACAAAATTTAAATAAATCTTTGCATACCTCTTTAAAACAGTTTTTATTTCCATTCTATGCTTCTAAAATTCATATATATCTCACTAAATTCTTCAAAATTCATTTTAATCTTTAAAATCTGTTTTTCTCTATGATGTGTTTTACGATAATTTTCAGACTTCAAAATGTTCCTTGCGCATGAATTTTTATCAAATCTTGTTCATTCTTTTTTAAAAATTATCAGTGAAATGTGCCGAATAAAAATGGATGTGATAGAATATTGTATTTTAGTTAAAAAGTTTTTAAAACTTCTTTAAAAATTTTTTTAAAATTTGAAATTTAAAATTTTTTTAAGGTCTTTTCATTTTTATTTGCTAAGAATTAAATATTTACTTGTCCAATTACATCCAATTTTATTTATATGTATATAAACTGTACTAGAGTTAAGTTTCGAACAAATATGTTGAAAACTGGTGCGCGTGTTACATTTCGAAGTTTTGATATTTATCGGGTAATTAAATTACAAAATTATTCATATATCTTGAACTAATTAATATTTTTGCTTCAAAATTGGAAAATATCATCCTACTTACATAATAGAAAATCTGTGAAAATTTCATTAAAATCGGTTGATATTTAAAAAAAATTATTTTGAAACTGAAGTGTCCCCTTAAAGGATTAAGAAGTTTACATCACGTGTACCAACAAAAATCTTCATATTTTTTTCATATTGACACTCAAACCTGTCGATATCAAACTTATACTAAATCTAATGAAATCAACTATACAATTCTAAATAGCAATTTATTCTTTTTTTAATTCATCTTTTACAAGGTTTAATATTTTGATATGTAGATCAAGTTTTTTTTCTTTTTTAATGTCTCTCATGTAAAACTTGAGCATGTCGGCAAAGCTGTCATCTTCATTTTGCTCTAAGCAGAATTTTTTTAAAAGTTGATCAGTGGTATCAATCCCATTTAGAATGATATCATTCCTCCTTTTCCTTTTTTTCCTTGAAGTAAGGAAGCTCTCATCATGATTTTTAGATGTACCTGGAGTACCTGTAATAAAAAAATTTATTAAAAATTAATGCCATTAACTTTGTTTTTCAAAATTATGCATTAGCTCATCTTTGTTAGATTGATTATGATCAGTGCCTGATTAAGCGTACTCGGGGGCCCTAGGCCATTCAAATTTTTGGGGCCTTTAGATTAAATTTTTTTCTATCGTATATTTTTTATTTACTCAAATATAAAAGTATTTATACATCTTTTCATGTAAGAAAGCATATTTAAAATTAAAATAAATAATAATAAATTAAATTTTACTTTATTTTGTTAAATAAGAACTAAAAAATAATCATAACATTTTGAAAAAATTTAATTACATTTTGAAACTCGCTGCTTCTTGTTTAAAAAAATCTCAGCTCACTATAGTATTGCCTTCAATTTTTTCGAGCGCAAATCAAAATGACAAATTTGAACTTAAAAAACATTGATAAATTTTATAATACATAGACTATAATAATACTTATAAATAACTAAAATAAGTAATAAATAAATATGATTAACACTATGTAA